CAAAGCATAAAGTGGACCACTGTTACAAGGAGAGAGGTTTTACAGAATTCCGGAACTCAGGACTTTTCTGCCCTGGTTCCTACATATGAGAGGAATTTTTTTGGTAAGAGATGTATGAACCTAAAGGTTTTTCATTTTTCTTTTTTTAAATTTTTTCTTCTTTGTACTGGGAATTAAACCCAGGGGTGCTCAACCACTGAGCCACATCTCCAGCCCTTTTTTATTTTGAGACAGAGTCTCGCTAAATTGCTTAGGGCCTCACTAAGTTGCTGAGGCTGGCTTTGAACTTGCAGTCCTCCTGCCTCAGCCTCCCGAGCCACTGGGATTACAGGCATGTGCCATTGTACCTGGCCTAAAGGCTTTTCTTAAGCCTTTAAATTTAAAATTTTTCTTCTAAAAAGTACTAGCTTTGAGTATGATTCAGCATTTTAACTATTTCCTATGGCAGTGTTTAGTGTTTGGCTTCTGAGCTTGGTATTTGCCTTGTTGGAAGATCTAATGGGGGAATGAAGAAAGATATTGATGTCAAAGAGTAGGAACATCGTAGAGACTATCCTTCCTACTACCCACCACCCAGTAGGACTCAACACTGTGCCTCTGTAAGCAAAACAGTTTACAGATACTATGTAATCTGCTTGATTCCTAATCTGGTTTAGGTAGAACGTAATTGGGGGTGTAGGTAAAGGAATGTTTTCACCTTGTTTTTTTTTCTGGGTCTCTCTACAACTTTTCCCCAAAGTGACTTCAATTTAATCAATTTTATACGAGTCTATAAAATTCAGACTGTGGGCAAACTTTTACTTTTTCCCCCAGGGGCTCTTATAGTAATTTAGAGTGTAATATGTTAATATCCCTAGAGTACAAGAATCTAGACTCATATATTTATTTATTTAGGTACTGGGGATTTAATCCAGGAGCACTTTACCACTGAGTCACATCCCTAGTCTTTTTTCTTTTGAGTAGGGGCTCACTAAATTGCCAAGGGCCTCACTAGATTGTTGAGGCTATCCTTGAACTTGAATCCTCCTGCCTCATTGGGATTACAGGAGTGTGCCACTGTGCCCAACTTAAACTAGTGTTTTTTAAAGTGTGGTTTCAACTAGGTGGGTAGAAAATTTAGTGAGTTATTACCACCCAAAATAGAAAATATAAAATGCAGTACACATTAGTGTGGGTAAATATTTGTTGTTTCATGAACTTTTGGTATATTATACACAGAGTTCTACCACTTGGTTCCAATTTGGAAGATATTAGTGGAGTCACAGTCAAAACAAAATTGAAAAACGGTATTTTAGATCCCAGAGTATTCTTTAAAATACTAATATTCTGATCGATGTTCTAAAAAGGAATTTTGTGATTGACCATACATGAATATTGTATCCCCCTTTTCAAGATTAACGGTACACATTAATAAATTGAGAGTCTTTCAGTCAAATGTTTGTCAGATTTATATGACCATGGAACTTCCCCCCACTCAATATAATGCCTTACAACATTATGCAAAACAATGTGGAGAAACACAGTTCAGTAAACACTGATCTATGTGGTCTACATATGTTGACAGGAGAAAAAGGTTTATCTGTTTTGTGGGGAAGCTTTTGTATGAAGGTTCTGTGGCAGTTCTAGAGAATACTCTTTTTACTACCACCACACAGTGGGACTTGATTTTCTGTCATTGGGATAAGTGGATTTTAAGTACCATATTGAGAAGTGTAAAGGTCAAACCTGAAGATGTTAAGTGCTTTTCCCCACGCAGAAAGGAGGTGCCTATTCCAATAGATAATTTGTTTTTGAGAAAGTTGCTGTGACCAGGTTCTTGGGTACTGGGGAAGGGGGGGGACTTTTTTTTTTTTTTAATTTTTTTTTTCCTTTTTCTACAGATGTGGGACCTAGGAAAAGGCCTGAAGATTACCCAACTCTACCAGTCTGGAGTGGTCGTCTTAGTTCTTACTGTATTGTCCTCTCTGGGGCTGGCAGCCATGTGAAGAACTGAAGATCCCAGCATCATCTTCCTACAAATTATTACATTGATTTACTTTCCTGTTTGTCAGTCACTCTTATCTCCAGTGAACAAAGTTCTCCTAATATGTTTAAACCCTTTTGTGCTTGCAGATCCCTTTGGAACTCAGAAGAGTAGCTTGTAGAACCACAATAGTAGAAAAAGGTCCAGTTTTCCCCTTGTTTCTAATGATGGAGTGGCTGCAAAAACTCCCTTTTCCTGCCCACAGCTCACAGCCTACTCTGAGCCAAGGAGCCCTTATTCTCTTTCCATGTTGGACTGTGATTTGTGCTGAGGGTCAGCGTTTGGCTCCTTCTTCCCAAGACAGTGGAAACAATGCCAGCTCTGTAGCCTCTGCCCTGGGAACTGGGGGTGAGGCTATGGGTGCCACTGCCTGTGGGTTGCTGGCTTAAAGGACAGTTCTGTTCATTGGTCAGAGCCCAGGGCCTTTAGCACCCACACAGTGTGACTGAAAGGAGATAGGTAGGAGTAGGGAATTATCCAGGCCCAGCTACATGGAGATAAAGAGGGTGAGTTGGTTCTTGGAGTAGATATTTCGGGAAGAAGATATATAGCAAGAGGAAGATCAAGAAAATTATCATCAACTGCAATGAAGGTTTTAGTTTTGTTTTGTTTTTGCATTTCTGGGAAAGCAAACCTTTTAATGTCATGTTTTCTAATCCAAGTTCATGTATTATCTTTTTCTGAAACTGAATTAAAACACTCATTTTATCTCTGACTCTCCTTGAAATCTAAGGAAACCAAGAAAATTACTTTTCCTTTACCTCCCTCAGGTCTCAGGCATTTATACCCACTAGTGAATTTTCCCAGGAGGGACCCTACAACTGACCATTTAGAAATTTTCATGGATTGAAAATCTGATTAACCAGAGATTCAAATATCACAGAGAAGCCTCCACAGAAAAGGAAAAGAAGCTAAGCATGTGCAGAACTTTTAGGTTATTAAAGGCTCCAAAATCCTATTGAGAATTATATGTCTCATATTACAGTTCAGCAAATTTTCTCACCATAGGACCAGCTAAGGGATGATGACCTAAGATTTAGGGGGTCAAGAGGGTATTGAAATCTGAGGGCCCCCCCCATATATGTATATAATGGTTAAATTTAATGCTTTTATAACCCATATAGGTCTGGCCTTTGGGCCCCTAAATCCCTTGGCAGAAGTACTATTTTGATAGTCTGCAAATTTGGGGGTTTTGTTTTGTTTGTTTTTGGTACTAGGGACCGAACCCAGGGGCACTCAACCAATGAGCCACATCCCCATCCCTTTTTATTTTGAGACAGGGTCTTGCTAAGTTGCTTAGGGCCTTGTTAAATTGCTGAGGCTAGTATTTGAACTTAGGATCCTCCTTCCTAAAGGTGTGGGGAGCCATTCTCACACGTGATTGGGCAACTCCCAGTTTGGGTCTGAGGCGCTCTGGCTAAACTGTATCGGAGCTTTCCCGACCCTCTCCTGGTGCAAGAGCCTGTCCGTGTGGGGGTGTGCCTGACCACTGACCCTGGGGCCAATCACTGACCCTGACCTTGGAGTGCTGCCCCCCTCAACCTTCATTGGATGGAATTCTCCCCTGAATTTCTTGTTCCCCAATAAAAGGCCACTCCCTGGCATGCTCTCTCTCTCTCCTGCTAGCCCTGAGTAATCCTTGCTGCCCTACTGGGTGGTTCTAGTTGAGAACCAGAGGGGGAGCCGTCTCGGACCTGGTCATAGAAAAAGGTAACTGAGTCTGTGTGTTTATTCTATCTCACTAGCTAACTTTTATGCCAAGAACTTCTTTAATGAAACCAGTGCACTGGTCGCATGGTGGAACCTAGGCCTCCAAGTAACTGATACTACAAGCTTTTGTCACTGCCTGGAAAGAGATGGCTCTTGTTGGTCAACTAGTTAAACCTGAGGGTAGGAGAGGAATAACAGTAACCTCTAACTGGTGTCAGTTGGATAGGAAGGTCTTAAGACAGTGGAAACTGCTACCTTAACTTTCTCTCCCAGTTCCCAGTCTTCCATCTAAGTAATGATCACTTCCCCTTGCAGCTTTCCTCCAGCTTAATCCAGCTCGCATCTACTTTGTCCTTTGAGTGAGGTACGAGTATTCCTCGTATGATTTGGCTTTGGAACTGGGGAAGGATTGGCAAGGGCATTAAATTTAACAGCCAGGAAGATGCAGAACAGGGTTAATGATAAGCATGTTGGAATCTGCAAAATGGATCGAAGGCTTTTTGACTTTCATTTTTCAATACTGGGAATAGAACCCAAAGCCTTAGACATGCTAGGTAAGTGCTCTACCACTAAGCAACAGCCCTAGCCTCTACTTCTTGAATTTTTTGGTGGCTTGTCACCAGTCCAGTTATTTAAGAGTCAAGTAGTAGGACATCATGATTGTTTTTCAACCATAAATTTGTACTTGCTCCCTCATTTTATTTTTCTTGTGTCTTCTAATCATTTCCATACTTAAGTTTCCAAACTGTATAATTTTGCTTTGATAAGGATAATGTCTTCTACTTTGGATTTCTATACCTTTTTTTGTTGTTTCTAGTTGTGGTGAACCCAGGGCCTCACATGTTAGGCAAGCACTCTGCCACTGGGATATACCCTGAGCCCCTCCATATCTTTCCTTGCCACCTTCTTCAAACATACTCTCTATATATTTTACTTCAGATTTTGAAGTAGAATGAAAAATAAAGGGCAAGAATGGATTTTTTGAGGGTCTTCCCTTTTGCTATAAAATTAAGCCAGTTTTCTCTTGGTCATTTCTGAGTATAACTAACTCAGTCTTGTGGAAATGTTTGCACCCCAAACCATTGTAAATTTTTTTTCACCTCTACTTTCAACCTTCCTAATTATGGGTTACATGAGGCAGCCAAACTGCCTGGGCCTGGGCATGTAGCTATTTGGTAGAGGCCTTGCTTAGCATATGAGAGGCCCTGGACTCAATCCCTAGCACCATAAGGGGGAAAAAAAAAAAGAGAGAGAAAATCCAAATCAGTAAAAGATTCAACAAACAATATTTATTATTTAAATTTGCCTTTACTCCGGTCTTAAATTTCTCTGTTCCACATTTTGGATTAGGTGTTTTTGGTTACTTTACTCAATCTAAGTATATTTCTGTATCTCAGCTATCTCTCAGTGTTCCAGCACACCTGCACTTCTAGGTGGACTATTAAGAGAGTTAACTGGGCTTTGGGGACCTGGAGAGTTAACTGGGCTTTGGGGACCTGGAGTATGACCTGCAGAGGGATGTGGGCTATGGGGTTGATCTGGGGGATTAGGATTGGTAGCTATAAAGTTTGGAATTATGGTTGGACTTGGTACTTGTTGTACAGTCTTTGTGATAGACTTCTTCCTGAGTTTCTTCTGACTCTCTGGATCATTGGGCTGTTGAGAGGAGAATAGAACAGACATGTTTCCGGTGAGGCCCAGAATATTCCCAATCTACCTCAGAATCCTGACTCCCTTATTCCCCTACCATGGGCAGAAAGTTGGGTTTCTAGTTGTGTGTGCGTCTGTGTACACACGCATTAGGGATTGAACCCATGGGTGCTTTACCACTGAGCTACATTCCCAGTTCTTTTTATTTTTATTTTGAGACAGTCTTGCTAAATTGCCCAGATAGGACTTCAACTGCAGTTCTCCTGTCTCAGCCTCCCCTGTAGCTGCACCACCATGCTTGGTAGGTTTCAAATAAAAATTTGGTTCTCCTAACCTCCCCTTGAGATTAGATTATTTTCTATTATGTTGAGAGGCTGGTAATAAATCCACAGTTCATCCCTTCAGGCCTCAGAAAAAGTGATTAGGGACTAGACAAGATAGAATGGTTAGGGTTCCCCCTGCTGGGACAATGTTGGCATAACAACAGACATTTTTTGAGGTTGGAGGTGATGGGATTTCAGGTTAGGTAGGAAGAATAAATACCTTGCCTAAGATTTCAGGACGCAACCCATTACAGGCCTTGAGTAAATCAGGATTTTTCTGTATCCATTCAGTGAGGGAGGCAGCACCAGCAGTTGTTCGGGAAGTCAAAGTCACTCGAGCAGGGGGTATCTTCTGAGGCATTTGCCAGGTGCCCATGAAAGTACCCCAGGGACTTACCTAAAAGGAAAAGGGATTCTTCAGGGCTTCTCACTGCCTGTAAATTCCTATTGGTAGGACCTTTGTTTGTCTTCTCTCCATTCTTTCTTCCTTAGGGAGTGCATGGTAATGAAACAAGGCTAAAAGCATAATCCCTCCCCTGCCTTTTCCCTCTCCCTCAATTAGGAATTTTTTTTCAACATTTTTTTTTTTTTAGAGAGAATGAGAGAGAGAGGGGGACAGAGAGAGAGAGAGAATTTTAACATTTTATTTATTTTTTTCTTAGTTCTCGGCAGACACAACATCTTCGTTTGTATGTGGTGCTGAGGATCAAACCCGGGCCGCACGCATGCTAGGCGAGCGCGCTACCGCTTGAGCCACATCCCCAACCCCTTTTTTTCAACATTTTCCTTCTAAATTCTGTATCCTTAGGCTAAGAGGATCAAGAGTCCCCCAAGTATCATCACCCAAGGACATTTGTTTATACAGTTCATTCATCTGCTTATAGATTCGTATGCTAAGCACAACTCTTTTCCTATTAGATAAACTAGCTGGGAGTTTGGCATACTCAAAACATGAATTAGATTGAATTTTAATTTCTTAGGAGAGTGCCTGCAGTCTCCCAGTTCTATGCCTCAGTTCTTCAACCTTTCTTGATAAGAATGGAGATAGGTATCTCACCTTGGAACGGGGCACTGAAGGCAACAGATGACCACGATCATTGGCGATAATCTGGGTGTAGCCTTCATGGGAAGAGATTTTCTGGGGTAGAGGTGGAAGAGAGAAATGCTTATTAGTACAATAGAGGGAGGATATATCTGAGGAGCTTGAACTAGAGTCTGGGGAGTTGAGGACAGGAAGTTTAGAGAAGACTAAAAAGGGGTGATAGGATTACAGAGCATAATGTAAAGGATCACAACAAACATGGTATACCTCTTTTGTTGGTTTGGCAGGAGACCAGTTCTGCAGAATCTTAGGTGAGAAAGCTTTTTCATACTGTAGAGACAAATGAGAATTCGTATCAAGTTAAAAGTTTCCAAGCTTGGGCTGATATAGGCTTAGCCGGAGAGGGATTGTTTAGCATGTGGGAGGTCCTAGGTTCAATCCTCAGCATGACTTTAAAAAGAAAAACAAGCCCCAAACCTAGGAAATGATGAATAGGCCCCTCCTGAACTGCTGGGAGTAGAGGCATATGCCATCATGCCCAGCATTAAACATAGTTCTTTAGATTTTAAAACTAAGGGCTTGCCACAAGTAGCTATTGAGCACTTGAAATATGACTAGTCCAAATCGAGAGCTTTTTAAATATAAAGGACTTTGAAGACATAGTACAATAAAATATCTGAATATAACTTAAAGATACTGATTAGATGTTCAAATATTTTAGATTTAAATTGGGTTAAATTACAACACTGAAATTAATTTTAATTTTCATGTAGCTACTAGAAAATTTGAAATTATATTTGTGACTCCCACTCTTTTATTGAGCAGTGCTGACCAAGAGTTGGTGAATTATGTCTTATGGGCTAAATCCACATCACTACCTGTATTTGGATGGCCTGAGAGCTAAGAATGATTTAGATAAATGTTTGCAATTGATTTGCCAAAATGGAACACTATTAATACCAATTAAGCAAAATATTTTCTCACCCTGAAAGAATTCCACTGTTTTCATTTTGTATTAGGAAAAAAAAAGATGTGCTCAGTTTTTATGTTTTGAATTTTGCTAAAAATTTTACAGAGAAGTATTTCTCTTATATAAGTGGCTACATAATATTCTTGACTTTGCTACTTGGTAGCAAAGCCTAAAATATTTACTTTCTGACCTGTTACTGAAAAGAATTCTGACCTCTGGTTTACGTCTTACAAATTGAACCCAGAGACACCTTTTGCTTATCTCTGGACCCTCCCAATCAGCCCACTGTCAGATGTCTGTTCAAAAATCAGAATCCTATGGAGAAGCCAGGCCAAAGATAGAACTGGGAAGGCAAAATTTAATGTTAAAGAAGTGGAGAAAGAACTTACCTGATTGGCACTGTAGTTGGTGGCCATGATCCTGTACTGTTTACATGTGTTGCCTGGCAACCTCAGAAGGCAGACCTTCTTGGACTACCTTCCAATCAGCCTGTTACTTCATTGGCTCACATTGCCCCCATCTTTCTTTCTGAAACTTAATTTCATTTTAGAGAAGTGAGGCACTGTAAACATGAGAAAATTAACTGGATAGCAGACCCACCTCCCACCCTCCCCTCTCTAACATAACTTACCCCTGCTTAAGAACTTCCGTGTTGTGTTGGGTATTTTTAAAAACTTTAACAAACTATGAAATTCCAAGAGCTGTGTTTGTTGGGCAATGTAGCACAATATACTACAGACTGTAGAGCTAGAAACTGAGGTTTGAATCTTTGTTTGACATGGGAACATAGAAGCTATATGGCCTTAAGCAGCTGGCTTCCCTTCACTAAATATCTATTGTGGTGGTGAAGGGCCTGGGTTTAATAGGTAAGTGAGATAAAGTGAGTAATGTGTCTAGTCTTTTTTTTTTTTTTTTTGCAAACACAATATCTTTATTATCATTAATAATTAATTATATTAATTAACTAACGTGTGCTGAGGATTGAACCCAGTGCCTCACTCATTCTAGATAATGTGCTATCATGGTACGTACTCAGTATTGGTAAGATACTGTTTATAGGGCCCACTATTTCATTTTCTCAGGTTGCATAACAAAGAAACAATGTCTAAAAAAATGACTGACTCAAATTTTTTCCCAAAAGGAAAATTACATCTTGTCTGTTGTCCTTAAATGACTCTTGTCTCTCTGTCACTCTAGAGTAACAGAACTTAAAGAGCACAGATGCTTAGCAATGGCTAGGATAATGTAATATCTGGAGCCTTATGCAGGGAGATTGAGCAGGGATGATGACAGAAAGTCCATAGGACTAGGCAACCAACCCTCTGAGGCTCATCTAGATTGATTTTAAAATACTCTACTGGGTTGTTAGGAGAACTAATGAGGAAGTGGAACTGTGCTTTGTCAATTGTCTACATATAAGCTGTTAAGATAAAAGAAATAAGTGATCTCCAGATTGCAGGGTATACCTTAGTGATAAAATACTTGCCTAATGAGCACAAGATTCTCTGTGTTTGCTCCCAACTTTGAAAATAAATTGTCCAAAGAAATAGGTAAGTGAGACAAGGGAAGCACTATAAGGGATAATTGTCATCCTTTTATTCTCTTTCTCCCAAACCTTATCCCAACCAATTCAAGTGTAAGAACATTCCTCACACTTTTAGAGAAGGTAAAAAATAACTCATTTCCTAGATTCTGACAGTTACCAGCTGGATAATGTGAAGTCTGGAAAGAGGACTTGAGTCTTTAGTCCCTGTTGTTCTCATTAATCTCAAGAGTGGTGGAAGAGATGGGAGTTATTTAAGGACCAAAAACTGTCTTTGCTCTAGAGTATCCGTTTTGGACTTTAAAGTCACAATGATAGTTAAGCAAGTATCGTTTCTCTTGGAATTTCTGTCTTCAGCTGATATGTTTTCACCTGCTTTTCTGATAGGAATATAATGATATGGGATGACTGTGTTCTTGGTTTTTTAAGTTATAAAGAATAAAGGTTGCCTGGGCAACCTAGCAAAACCCTGTCTCAAAATAAAATTTTAAAAGAGGGATGGGGTAGGGATATAGCCTAATGGTAGAGTGTCTTCCTAGCATGCAGGAGGCTCTGGCTTTGATCCCTAGCATTCAAAAAAAAATTTTTTTATTTGGCTCATGGTTCCAAATACTGAAAAGTTCATGATCAGGAGGCTGCATCTAGTGGGAACTCTGTGCAGAGTCTAAAGTTGCTAGTTTTTGTTTAATTGAAAAAGTAATATGCTTGTACATGGGGGAAGAATCCCATTTTTTTTTAAAGAGAGAGAGAGAGAGAGAGAGAATTTTTAATATTTATTTTTTAGTTTTCGGCGGACCCAACATCTTTGTTTGTATGTGGTGCTGAAGATCGAACCCGGGCTGCACGCATGCCAGGCAAGCGTGCTACTGCTTGAGCCACATCCCCAGCCCGAGAATCCCATCTTTATAAGAAAATGTTTGATGAAAAAACAAACCTTCATCTGACTTCAACTTCCAGTTGTGCTCCTCAGAGGCAATTACTGTCAATATTTTGTGTTTTCTTCCAGAGATATTTTATGCATTCAAACAATTATGAGAGCAAATTGTTTGCAATGCTTTGTGATTTGCTTTTGAGTATCTTGGGAGCTATGTTTTATGACAGTATAGTATTCCACTTGTGATATGCTACCACTTATTCAGACCCTTACATGTGACCATTTAAATTATCTGCTGTTGCAAACATTGCTGCAATGAAAACTATATGTACACCTATATCTCTAAGGTCATATATACTATATATCTTTATGAAGATATATAATATATGAGATTAATTTATACAAGTACATTGCAAAGTCAAAGCTTTGTGATTTAAATTATTAGTAGGTACTAAAACTCAAAAATATTACATCAGTTTGTTTGTTCTGACAGTACATAATAAGTGCCTACTTACTTTTCTGTTTTTTGTTTTGTTTTATTTTTAATAATGGGGATTGAACCCAGAGGCACTTAACCACTGAGCCACATACCAGCCCTTTTTATTTTTATTTTCAGACAGGGTCTCACTAAGTTGCTTTGAGACTCACTAAGTTGCTGAGGCTGGCTTTGAACTTGAGATCCTCCTGCCTCATTTCCCAAGCCTCTGGGATTACAGGTATGTGCTGCTATGCCCAGCTGCCGTCTGGTTTTTGTTTTTTGGGTTTTTTTTTTTGTTTTTTGGTTTTTTTTTGTACTGGAGACTGAACCCAGGGGTACTCCACCACAGAGCTACCTTCCCAGTCCTTTTTATTTTTTGTTTTGAGACAGGGTCTCACTAAGTTGCTGAGGCTAGCTTCAAGCTTATGATCATCTTGTTTCAGTTTTCTGAGTTGCTGGGATTATAAAAATGGCTTTTCATGTCTTTTGCCATTTGTGATTAGACTGTCAATCATTGTTATTAATCTGTTTGAATTCTTTATATATTAGGGAAATTAGCCCTTTCCCAGACATGATGCAACCATTTATCCCAGTTGGTTACTTTTGTTTTCTTTGGAATTTTTTTTTTTTTTTTTTTTTTTTTTTTTTTGCTATGGACATTTGAAGCGGGCAGGTACTGGGGATTGAACCTACAGGTATTCTACCACTGAGCTACATGCCCAATCCTTTTTATTTTGAGATAGGTTCTCATTAAATTGCCCAGGCTGGCCTCAAATTTGCAATTCTTCTGCCTCAGTCTTCCAAGTGGCTGGGATTACAGGCATGCACCAGCTATGCTTTCAATATGTAGTCAAATTATTACTCTTTATACTTCTAGACTTTATGATTTTGAAAGCTTTTCATAAATTTCAATGTTTAAAGACTGACTAAAACTGGTTTCAGTTTTAACAATTTAACTTTTGTTCCTACTGGACTTTGTTTTAGTGAACAAACAGAGGTGAGGTATTAGATGCCTAACTGATTTTCTTGGCATTGTTTATTGAATAAACTATTTTTCCCACTAATTTGGAATGCCACTTTTATCATATTCTCTAATATATTTGGATTTGTTTCTGGATCCCATAATCCATTGTTCTGGGGAGAGGGATGACCATTTTAGATTATTTGTCTCTCATAAACCTAAAATCTAAGGTGCAATCCTGACTTGCTCCTGTATGAATTCTTCCAGCTAAAAGTTCACAGATACTAGAAAATTGTCATAAAAATCAAAATAGGCAATTTTAAGCTTCTAATAAAATTGCATTGATTTTAGCATTTCTTTACATGAACTTGTTGACCTCAGGTCACTAGGACCATATTCAGTTCTTTGAAAAGGCTCATAAAAACCCTATTCCCTCTCACCTGCGTCCCGCGCAGGCAATAGAAATGAGGTTCCTCTCTGTGGAATGGGCTGGCTGAAAAATAAAAGCTAGGAAAAATAGAACAACAATAAAAAAAAAAAAAACCCACAGGACACAAAAAATAATTTCAAAAAGCAAGTCGGGATGAGCAAGCCGATCCTAGGGATGGAGCTTCTATACTCTGGCAAAATGAAGCCTGAACCTGCTTTATTTATTTTGGGGGACATCAAAGGCCTTCCGTAGAATATTCTTCTCCAAAAAAACGTAAAAGGTGGGCTGTCCAGTTCCCAACTGGTTACACCCATCTCCTGAGTGACCATGAGAGAACGTCCTAGCAGAGTGAAGATAAAGGTCATGTGCCTTGGGCAATCTATTTCGTGGGAGAGCCAAGGATAGTTCCCAAGATTAAACCTAAAATCTCCCTGGCTACATGCTGAGAGAAGATCCTCATGTGTTTTCACGGATGGCTCCCTGCAACTCCCAAAATATCTCAAGGTATTTTCATCATTCAATTTCTCTGATGTCTGAAATTAGACCATTAGGAAATCTTTTATTTGCATTGAGATTATATGCTATTGAAGTGCAAGTTTACTTTGGCTCTATAGGCAATGTATAAACTGGACCTAGGTAAGGGTACCACCAGCATAAGTCCTGGAATCGAATTACCTGAGTTAAATTCTGGCTCTGCCTTAAGTGTGAGACCTTGGGAAATTAATCATTTTGGTGCCTTCATATGTGAAATAAGGTTAATCTTAGTTTTGAGCCCCTGGTATGTATGTATGTATGTATGTATGTATGTATGTATAAATAAATAAATAAATAAAATTTATTTTGGGATGGAAAGTTAGACTTGGATTTTAAATTATTCCTGAAAAATCCAGAACTAGCACTTGAACTGCGGTTCAGTTCCCACTGGATATAGCCACTGTGGCCTTCATATCTGACTTGCTGGTACTATCAGGCTCAGAATTTATCCTAAGCAGGCATTTGCCCAACTTATCTATTCTTTCCAATTTTTCTCTTTCAATTGTCTGAGATTGAATCTAGTGGTAATTTGCCACTGTGCTACACCCCAAGCCCTTTTTATTTTTTGAGACAGTGTCTTACTGAGTTGTCCAGGTTGGCCTGGAATTTGTGATCCTCCTGTCTCAGTCTCCCAAGTTGCTGGGATTATAGATGCGGCACTACTGTGT